TCTCTTTTAAAGTGTGTTTCTAAAACCAAGAGATTATATCCTACCAAGTATAAAACCACAATACACTTTACCAATTGATAATAACACCCTGCACATGGTCCTGGGCTCACTGCTTCCTTGTGCCTGTGAGTGAGCACTCTGACACATTTAAGTTGCAGGGGCAGCAAGGCTCTGGAAGAATAGCCTACGTCTTAGCAAAGTTTAATTTCTCTGCATCTAAAAGTGTGCTGTGCATTTTAAGGATGAATCAGTCACTTTAGTCTAAGGTTTACACAGGAGGAGACTGGACCCTTTGAGTGCACCACATTTGTATTTCTTTAATTATTACATGCAAGATATTAAACTAGACACTAATAAGTATCAAGTTTGCCAGATACTTGAAAACTATCAGGATGCAAAAAAACCTTCTCCTTCCCTACATCTGTATTCATCTTGAACTCCCAAATTCTTATTAGGAGTTGAGCTGAACAGTAGAACCTGCCAGAGGATGATCCTAATTACAGCCAACTGGTGGCTAAAGCTCAACTGACATTTCCTGTAATTTCAGAGTCAAGTCCAAGAATCACATTACTTTGTTATTCTCATGGGTTGTTGGTTTTTTATTTCTCTTAAAGCATTCTTAGCATTTCTTTAGCAGCTACCTATGTCATCACATGACACTGGTATATATTTTGTGATATCACCAAGACTTAACTGTCAACTAAATTCACTACATAGGAGATGAAAGTTATAGCACATATGTCATTATTTGATCATCAATGAAATAAAATGTTACTTTGCTCCATGGGGAGATTGGTTCAATACAGACATAATGCCATTCAAACTGTCTCAAGAAGAATGTTCAGCTAGGCAAGTTTTCTAGGTGCTGTCTGTGAGATCCTCTTACAATGTTTCTGTGAATGTGGCTACAGGTTCTGTTATCTTCACAAAACAGCAAGTTGGTGACAAAGTAATCTGACAGTCAGTATTATTCATCCATTCCCTGCTTAAACAATCATTGCAGATCTAATATATTCAAGGTACGGGGAGAGGAGCAACCTGTAACACATGTATAAAACAATGTATAAAACATGGCTCTGTCCTTGGGTCACTGATCACATAAAACCAAAGGCACAGGATTAAGAGTCACAGCAGTGGTATAAAGTGATAAAGGAGACCAGGAGAGAGATTTGACTTTGGGCTGGGGTGAGGATGGCTCCATGAAAGAGGTAGCATTTGAACAAAAGTAGGCTCCCTCTTACCATCTGCCCAAGAGAAGGACTTTTCCTGTACCTGCACAGGTATGCATCTATGTGACTAACAATAATATGAAAAGTTATCACTTCATAAAAGAAAGAGAATATAAATTCTAGCATTATCCCAAGGAACAAGGATTTGCTTCTGACACTGGAGGATTCTAGGAAAAGTATGACCCAGTAGTGAAAGATCTTGTTGTTTTATGACACCCAAACCCTAATTTCAGATATTTAATAGACTTTGTTAACAAGACTGCTACTGGTTGCTTGTCATTTTCCTCGCTATACTTACCATGAATTTCTCAGAGGAAATATGTGTGAGATATTTAAGTGGCTTGGATATAGTTTACTGAAGAACAACTTAGACATTTCCTCTCAAAATCAGGTGAATGTTAAAAGATATTACTTTGCAATCGTTTAACCAAGTGCCTTGACATTACATTTGGGGTTGCAATAAATTAGTATGTTCAAAACATGTATCTTCATATGCTCTCTTTCTTACAACATATACATAAAAATGTTCTAATATGTGAGAGTAGCAGGATGAAGTTTTGTAAGTTTAATGCTGTGCGTAAAAAAATACTATCACAGCATAAACATTGCTCAACATTCAGACAGGTTTTTTGGGTCTTCTAATGTCAATACCTAAAAGAAGGCTCATGGAATCCCTAGGTGCTAAGTGTACTTAAAAATAGAGCCACCAGGTGATCCTGAGAAGAGTCTTTTCCTCTCATGCAGAGATGATGACAACAGTAATATTAACCCTTACTATGTGTCAGGTACTGTTGTTAACATTTTAGACATATTAACTTAATGTCCTCACTATTATTATTCCCATTATATAAATGGCAAATTAAGGAACAGGGAAGTTAAGAAATCTTCCCAAGATCACATGGTAAGCAGAGAAGCCAGAATGGAAACAAGGCCACCTACCCAGTTGCACTGAGAGGGTCCCTTCCTTCCATGCCCTAAGGAAACACCATTCCTGAGACACACCTGCCACCAAAAAATGGTATCAGTAGAGCTGATACCATCACACCATGGCTATGAGCATGGCATGGCATGGCAGTGAGACTTCAAAAAAAAATTATTAAAAATTAAAACCACACTGAGATACCACCTAACTCCAGTCAGGATGGCCATCATCAATAATTTAAAAAACAGAAGTCAGAGAGGACGCAGGGAAAAGGGAACACTTCTATATTGTAGGTGGGAGTGTAACTAGTACAACCTCTGTGGAAAACAGTGTGGCAATTACTAAAAGATCTTAAAATCAACCTTCCATATGACCCTGCAATCCCCCTTCTGGAAATATACCCGGATGAACTCAAATCATTCTATAAAAAAGATACCTGCACATGCATGTTTATTGCAGCATTATTCACAATAGCAAAAACATGGAGCCAACCATGCTGCCATTGAAAGTGGACTGGATCAAAAAAAAGTGGTACATATACATGATGAAATGTTAAGCAGCCATAAAGAAGGACAAAATTATGAACTTTGTAGCAACTTGGATGAATTTAGAGTCTATCATACTCAGAGATCTATCACAGAAACAAAGAACTGAGTATCATATGTTCTTACTCATAAGTGAACCCTGAACATTTATCATAACACTACATGAAAGGGATTGACCATAGTGGTAAACTGCTGGTGGGGGGGGGGGATAGGCAACAACATCAATAAAGGTAGCTGACCTCAAATCAGGCAAAGTCCAAGTGGGGACCAAAGGGAGTCCCAAACTTTACTTGTACGATGACCACTTGTATACCTGATCCTAAATTGAATTGTACCTCACATCTTTAAAATAAAAAACAAATTAAAAAAAAGAATATTGCTCTTTTGATACAAAAACATGATCAACAGTATTACATTTGAATGTCACATGTAGGCTAAGAGTACCACACTCTGGCTAGTATTTTAAAAATCAAACATATAAGGTGAATAGTAATTAGTTTTCTTATTGGTAGTTAACTTGTCTGTGCTCTGTTCCATTGGGCAGATGATAAGGAGTGGCTAATTTCTGGAGAGGCTTAAGAAATTTTTACTCCAACTATATTTTGTCTGGTGTCATAAAAATATTATGGGAGCTACTTAAAATCAGGTGAGTATCTTGGAACAAGAGACGGATGTGGTGTCCTGGGTTGAATGATTAAAATATTGAGTACTGAACATTGACAATTTTTGAAAGAAATTATGTGGAAATAAATATTAATGGACTCTAATTTCTCAGGACAGGAATAGAAGCAAAGATTAGAGCATGTCTTCCCACTAACTAATAATACATATTACAGATAATAATTCTTTTAATAAATAAGACAAATAAGTTTTTTGGTTACCTCAAGAGTACAGCCCTTCTTACTATCTCCCATAAAATATTCATTCAGAACACCATTGATTGCCAAAAGATAAAACTGTGAAGTCATTTGAGGACATCAAAGAATTCTAGTTCCTAAATCTTCCATAATTTTTAGTTCTAAATGTTTCCATACTTTTTTAAACCTGTAGAGTACCTAGTCTTAAGGTATAAACACAAAGTTCCCATTGCTATGTTTATTGAACATGGTTTCTATTTATAAGTCAGTTCTGGACATTTTGACAAATCTACCATCATGTTTCACCAAAACATAGTATATACTAAAAACCCTAAATAAATCAGAGCCTTCTCAACTTCTAGTTCCTTAGGTCAAATCTTGACAACTATGAAGTGCTATCAGAAGAGTACTTTTTTCTCTCCTAAGGGTTTATAGAAGCTTAGGTATTATTAGTTTGGTGGAAGGTGAAAACCATTCTGACTACATCTTGTTTCTTCTCAAATTCTTAGTTTTTGGAAAATTTAAAAACTTCAATTTTCAGTGAAAGATAAATATTCTGATATCTTGTTACTAGAATAAGTTGTGAAATCATTTTTCTTGAAAACACATCTCTAACATCAGACATATGACGTAGTTGTACAGCAATTTTTCATGCCCCATTCCAAGTTACGGTAAACAGCAAAATAATAAGGTATTAAATATTTTTTCAGTCTTTGTCATCGTAAGTCATCTGGGCTGCTGATACTAATCTTTAAAAGAATATCCCACCAAATATACAGCATTCAGTTTATACTTCCTGAGGGAAAAAAACCCAGTAGTTTAATAATAATTTAAAAAATTTTAATATTAAGTAATTTCAATAGAATAATTCTCACAGAGGGCATTTATCTATATATCTATATTTATCTAGCTATATTTTTTTTGGGGGGAAGGAAAGAGCAGGGAAAAAAAATACTATCCCTGGAGCTTTAAATTTACATTTACCTTATTAAGCTTTTAAATCTTAAGAAGCTAAACTCCAAAATTCCAATTTCTCTAGCACAGACAAGACCTAATTTAGAAGGCTACTTGGGTTTAAAAGATAAAGAGTATTAGTACTTTAAAAAAATCAACATAAACATGACATTGAAGCAAACTGGCACAGTCTGACAAGTTTTAGAACACTAGCTCACAAAATGAATATACTTAAATTTAGACAAACACACAAATATAGCCTGTATCCAAAAATCACAGACACAACCCTGTATAATACCTATGTTAAAATGTTCATAATATCTAAAGCTATTACAGGCCTCAGGCTGCCAGAGTCCTGATAGGAAAGTCAGCATTGAGCACTATGCTTTACACAGCTTTGCGTGCATGCACACACTCTGCAATGTGGGAGACAGAGACACCGATCACCATCGAGATTGTCCTTACTTGCAGACGCACAAGTATCCTGCATGTTCCGATTCTGACTGGCACCTGGAGCAGCTCTACATGCCAGTCATCCCAATGTACTCAGGGATGTAAACACCTTATAATTAGAAAACGTGAAGGCGTCAAGGACGTTAGACAAATTTAAAACACATCCAAAGATTAATTTTTAAAGGCATTGAAGAAATAATTCATTGCAAATTTCAACAAGAGATGTACCTGCTCCTTCACAGAAGCTAGAATAGTGGTGGCTGTGGTCTCGGGTTCCATGCCTGGGCCAGTGGAGGCAGCTTCCTGGTGGGTCTGTGGTTGCCCCTCCTCCACCAATGAGGTCTGCTCAGGAGCTGGCATTCCTCCTGCAATCAAGCAGGCAAAGGGTTAATGCTTTCTTCTGGGCTCCCTTGCAGGATTAGGCAGGGTCTGAGGATTTGCAGAGGGTTCTTAGCAACTACAGGGGACTTCTACACACAATGATTAAAAGCTTGTTAAATAGCTAAATTTTCTAAACAGACAACCAATATATAAATATGATTAACTTATTAAGAAACTAAATAATAAACACTTTGGATTGATATAAGGGTCAGTCTTCAAAGAAGTATGCACACAAAAAGACATCTACAAATGCTAACTGACAGAAGAAGAAAGAATGTTTTACCAACTACTATATCTATTTAGATGTATTACTCTGTAAAACAACATCTGAGACTATAAATATTTCTCTCAATATACTTCATAGTTTTCTCATAAAAATTACTCTGCTGCTGTATCTCAACTTCTTATCAATTAACTTCTACGGTGCTCAATTCTATAGTTTGATCTGAGAATTTCCCCCTCATTCTGTCAAATTTCAGTATCAACGTGCTGCTCCAAAACCATAACCTGTATGTAAAAGAGGACATGCACCTTCCCTCTGAGCTCCCCATCTTACTCCTTACTCTTCTGACTTTCATGTCAATGGATGGGGTTAAGGGTCCAGGTTCCTGCTGAAAGTTGTTTTATTCTTGCCATACTAACAGGCGTCAAAGGACACTGGATCTGATTAGATTATTTGTGCATTTCTTCCCTGACGCCAGTCTCATAAGGAGTTCTCATGCCTGCTCTGGCAGGTGATTTTCCATCTACTAATTTCATGACCCATAAGGCCCAGGCAGACCAGAACTGTAAGACGGAGAATCTTCTCAAGCACAGATAGGAAGAGGATCTTCGGCTTGAAATAAGTGGGTTTAGGATGAAAACCTAAGTGTCCTGGGAGAAGTTATCCACTTAGTTGAGTCCCACTTTCCTTGGCAATAAAAATGGTGAATTGTTTATACAACACAATGGAATAAATTTATGGCAATTTTTACATTTTAGTATATGTGGTACGCTTATTGAGATGTAAATCACTTAAAATATTATTAACTAGATAAAGTTATCTCTATCTGTACTATCAAGTACTCATTAAAGATAAGAAATAAGGTCTATAAAGAAAAAGATGCCACACATAAAGATCCTAGATTAACATTTCAGGCAAGTAAAGATATGAAAGTATGCCATGCCATTGAAAAATTACACACCTTAAAATAAGCAGATGGCTGCAAAGAACAAGAATGTTACCATGCAACAGTGAAACAAATAACTCCAAGAACAAAAAATTTTAAATGTCAAGAGTATAATATCATGAAAAACCAATGTGCGAGAAGAAAAAGAGAAGCAAAAATTCAGTGAACAAAGAGTTTGAGAAAAGGAGAAACAGAATGTCATTGGGGAGTAATTTATTAATATAGAAGAAGCCTTCCTGTTAAAAGAAATATATAGAAGTATACTACTGTAATTATATTATCTCTCTGTGAATATATCTATCATACTTAATTTTACAATAGTTATCTTGATGACCCTGACTACTCAAGATCAAGGAAATCAGAGAACCATTTTCTGAGTACCACTCTGCCCAGGGTCACTGGCCATTAAGTGGTTTCTCATCTAGACGATGCAACAAAATATGAATCAGATCAAGACAAAATACAGCAAGTTAAAAAATGTGAGGTAATAACATGAAAGTCAAGAGGAAAAGGGTTAGAGAGCTTATTAATTTGCAAAGGAAACTACTAAAATGCTAAGAAACTCAGCAGGAGAGGAAATTTCCATAGACAGGGATGATGTTTTATTTTCTGATTCCTCAAAGACTTGTACACATTGCAGGCGATCCTGAACACTCGCTGGAGGAGAGTGAAGATCACAGTACCCATCATTACTGAGGGTGCGATACTTCTCTACTCCTCATCTTTGGAATAGCCTCAAAATGCCACAAATAGCAGAAGAGGGATGCCACAATACTGACATTATAAATGTATTAAGGTTTTCTGTCCATTGTCTTGTAGTTCTCATAATTGATCATTTAATGAATTGGAATCAACCTAAGACTAAGGTCATAAAATAAATATTATGACATCTTCCCAAGGGAAAAGAAAAACCTATATCACAAGATATAAGAAATTAGGCCTCATGTTTCCTTCAGTGATCTCAACTTGCCTGATCTGAGCAATCGCATTCTGGAGACCTGAAAAAACTTACAAATAGATTGCTGAACCACTTTTGAGGATTCTACAGAGAATCTCAGAGAATGAGGATGTGTCAGAAAACTGGAAGGAAGAAAATACCATGGCTATTTTTGGAAAAAGAGAAGGTAGACTCTTCACATAACAAACTATAGAGCTAGACACAGATTTTGGGTGAGAGACAAGAGGATTTTATCCAAGAGGTGATTTGTGAGAACCAAAAATGTGCACACCAAAGAAAAGTCATGTTAAGCTAGTCTAATTTCTGTCTATCACAGTGTAACCATGGAAATTCAATGTATCCAAACTCTAGTGAGGCATGTATGATATTAGAAGTCGCTTATGATATTATAATTAACATAGAAATGGGTCTAGAACAAGGATAACTGCTGACTCCAACAATCTGTAAATAGCTGAATGAAATACATCAAGCTATAGAGGTTTCTAACATAATGCCAGAGAGTTCTGACCTTGACCTAATCCTACCAAAAGTTTTAGCCATGGTATCAATAATATACAAGCCTTGGTCAAGTTTTTCAATAACTAAGAATAATAATGAATTTACCCGATGATAAAATTAAAACACAAAAACATATTGTAATGCTGCAGTAATGAGCTTAAAAACAACAAGAATAAATACAGGGTCCTGTATTTAGTAAGTTGAAAAAAAAAATTAGGCACTTCAGGTTCAAGGGCAAAATGTGAACCATGAGTGACCCAAGGCTGCCCAAAAGCTAATGTAGTCTTATATTGTGTTGATATAACTAATTAGGATGATAAGGAAGGGGGAGTGAGTATACAACTTTCCTTCAGGCTCCTTGGGACAAATTCGCACTCAGTTATGGGTGGCACATTAACAGCAACAGGCATAGTATACTCATGCAAGAGAGGATGAGTGTGGTGTTAAAGGGATCCAGTCACTATTTCCAGGCACAAAATGAATGGCACACTTCCTGTTCTTTAAGAGCTCAAAACTCACTGGGGAGACCTAGAGGGAGAGTTAATGGAACAAGAAGGGAAATTTTGACCTGAAGTTCTATAGATGCCTAAAAACCTCTGAAGGATTACCATGGGCAAGTAAGGTGAGACTTTTTAGGTTACAATCCCAAGAGACTAATGGTTTAACAATAAACATGTATTGCCCTCTATTATTATTGTCTTTAGGCTTTGAATCAAGGTTGGAGCAATAAAGAACGTCTTTCCTTTTGCGGCTAACAGTCAAATTGCTTAAAATTTCAAGAACCGATTGTCTCCGAAGGTGGCACATTCTCCATCATGAGGTCTTTAATCAGAATCTGGATGATGCTTGCAGTAGGGATAGTATAGAAGACATGCTGTACTTAGTGTGTGTTAGAAATAGGGAACTCTAAATCTTGAGGCTGACACTAAGATAAAACAACGTCTACATCCTGAATTATGTGACTGATCCTCAGGAGTTTTCAGAACATTGTCTACTCTATCACACTGTCTCTGTAGCAGCCACCTGAAATCCAGAAGCTAGACTTTCCTGACAAAATGGTGGATACTGAAAATTGTAGCACTGGCTATTTCCCTGCATTGCTGTTCAAAGCTCAGAGATGAATTTTTTACCAACTCTTACACATGTGGGTATATATAGCTGTGTTCTCATTTTATCCTCACCTTTATTTAATAAATTTGCCCAGATCTCTAATTTTATCATACTGTTAGACTGAATTCTTTTGAGTCTTCTGAAGCACTTTTGGGGAAAGGCTGACTATAAACAGTTGTATATTTTCATTATAATCTTCATTGAAGTCACAGAAGTTATTATATTATACAGTGTAATATTGTATGTGACTGCACATGAATGTGTATGTATCTTAATCTTATATTGAATTATCAGCGATTAACAGGCAATTTTCCTATTCAAGGCTACATACCACATATACTCTAGTGTGACTATTAAAGCCTTTCTTTGCAAATTATAGATAGATGCACCTACAGATAGATAAAAATATGAACAACCTAAGGATCCACATATAACCTCTTTTATCACAGATAATGCTCGTCCACAAAATCATCTCTGCTAAATCTTCCTGAGATGGGAGATCAACTAAATCCTGGACATTTCTCTATTTATTCCTTTCTACTTTCCTTACTAATTTTTAATCAAAGTATGCTAAGTATACTTTATTTTATCTTTTCCAGTAAAATAACTCCGCTTATTTTTCCCTTCCTTTTTCAAGTTAGTAGTATAGAGTAAAACATACATTTTGTAACTTCACTTTGAACAGTCAGGAAAACATTATGTTGATAAGGAGCACAATTTCAAAATGGATAAGACAATGGTGCCTAAAAACAAATTAAGAAAAAATAATAAAAGTTTTAAAAGGTATGAATATTTATATTTGATTCAAGTATAAAGTAAGATACTAACAATGTAGGATAAAAAGTTTACCAAATAAGTATTAGATGAACAAAATATTTTAATAGCAATAAATAGAAAAATTTACTGAGTATCATTATGTAGCAAAGATTAAGTTTCTCTTTGCTTTACTTATAATGAAGCTAGAATATATATTACAGAAGAAAAGAAAGAAGTCCTAGGAAATAAGAATACACATGAAAAGTTAAACATCTTCAAGACCATATGGAATCTAGTCTAGAAGTCTAAAAGGAGTACTAGATAAACTTTTTGCAGTTATATTTTTAAAGTGTCCCGGAAATAGAAGCATCACCAAAAGCTGCATCTCTTTAGGAGGATTAGAGATAGTTATAAACTAACCCTCTAATCAAGCATTCATTAAAAAATTCAGATTTCTTGGCAAGAATTTATTTAGAAAGGAGCTATATGCCAA